TAAACAAAGTAAATGACTTTAGGGTATCGCGAGATTCGTAAGTAAAACATAAACCCATTTTTTTAATCGACGTTGTCGTCGGCTTCGCTGTCGTGGTTTCTTAAGCTCCCTATTTATTTCCGTGCGGATGCAGAGTAAATTCCTGATAGGTGAGCTAGTCGCGTGGGTTGTGTTGTCAAACTCGGGCGACTCGAGCCAGCTGCACCTTTATTACTTTCGATCCAGGTGAAAAAGTAAGAAGAAGGAACTGGGGAGACAATCCTCGCGTGTTGCTCCTAAAACAATGTATAAAGAACTTCAAAATCGTTTACGCGTTTTCAGCCCAAATTATTTGAAGACTAACATTGTTTATTGGGTCTCATTAGAATACGAAGTATTTGATATTTATCAAAATACTAATCAAATTAAAATGTCGGTGTCAAGGTCCTCCGCTGTATTTGTAGATAGCTGTCAAACATATGCATCACTGCTCTGAAAAGTATAAGTCTAATTTTAATTATTAGACTTATGGAATATTATGGAACTGTATAATATTTCTTCAAAAAGTCGTATACACTCCCATAATATTCCGATCCTGGTTAAAAAAATATAGTAGACTTTTCAGCGAAACGTTTGAAAACGATAGTGGCGAATTGAGTAGCTATTAAATTTAGCTGCATATCAGTTTCTCATAATTTCCACACGGAGACACTTCTATAGCAACAAGTCGTGCTCATAGCGATCTGACATGAAAGGTTTAAACCGACGGCGTTATGAATCATTTCCCCTTGATGTTCTCGCTGTAAGCATGAGGAAATTTATGGAGTAACGTGAGAGGGTTTTCCGAGCGATAAGCGAACAACATAACAGGTACATTTTTGCGCGAGTCTGCCAATAGGTTATGTGCGTTAATAATTTCAACTTCTGTTTGCAATGGCAGCAGTTTACCGAATCACAAGAGCTCGGTATGTACAAAGACCAGGAACTCGCCAGAATGCCCCCGAACACCACTTTTGCTTAAAGCATCATAAGTGATCAAGGATAATAAGTGTTAAAGATTCGTGTCTTGTAATGAATAGGTTAGGAGAAATGATAACTTAAGTTTTTTGTACAAGAAAAAAATCGAGTAGAATGGTTCCGCATTCAGCCGAGATACGCTGTCATTGCTTTCAAAAACCGACTTCTTCGCTCAGTAGCATCGACTTCCATTCCAACCTAAATTGATGGTTGTTCCGGATCGAGGTGATAAATGAGTGTCACAAAGGGAGTCAAACATGTTTTGGAGGCTTTCTGAACTAAATTCATATGTAAATTTATTTTCACTTTCAACCGCTGTTTGTAAATCAAGTGATAGACGTCCGTTTGTATGTAATCTATGGAGCCTTCTTCGTAACAATACGGAGAGGTAACTATTTAGAGGCAAACAGATTGATCCTTTCCGCACGATTTTGTAATGCTGCAGCGCTGCTCGAGCACGCTGTCATATTCCGTTCGAGGTTAGGAAAGTTCTACTTGTTCATTTTCAATGTGTAAAATGAAGTAATTCAACTTCTCTGTTAAAGGAGGAAATATAAATGCATCTGCCGGTAAAAACCTTGAGAGAAATTAAGGGCAGGAGAATGACTGGAAACAACGCTTCAATGTTTATAAAGGCAGGTACTTGGATGCGCTGTTCGCCACGTGAAATCAACCCGACGCCAACCTCTCACAGTGTTTTGTCAAAACAGTCGGTAATAGGGTAGTAATTGATTTGTTTACCTCTTTGACACAGAGATGGTTTTGACTCAGATTGCATTGCAAATTCTCAGAACCAAAGCAGAATTTGGCGTCTTGCTCGAACAAATTTGAATTGAATTCGAAAGTTCCTCCAGGAAACTGATGCTTGTATTGCAACGTTTCGCTTTATCACTGTGGAGTTTCGCGGAAAACAACATCCCTTTTAAAGACCACCTTTTATTGTAAGGATTATTTATCGAAGTGGAGGTAAATAGAGGAGGATATATATCGATTATTCGACGGACTGAGGTAAATGTTTTCCGTTATTTAGCGACTCTGGGGTGACTTATTGTGTGAAATAGCTGCATGGTCCTCCAAATTATTGCTTTATGTGACGACAAAACATTGCAAAAGTCATGTTTAAAGGGGATATTCTGCGTCTGACTAGGAGCAAAGCGGGGTCTGTGACAGCATGAGACCAAAAACAATGTGTAAAAATTAATTTCGTTTCCTATCTAGGTTGTCCTTATTTCAAGGTGAGCGTTGTACTGTTACTGTTGGCGAGGGAAACTTCACATTTAAAGCGAATTTGCAGTTTGGAACGTGGCACTGGTAAATACTTTCGGTAAGCAATTTTCTCTCAGATCCAGAGGAGGAAAAATTGAAAATAATC